GTCCTATCTAAACGAATGTGAGGCGTCACTGTAATTATAAAACCTTATAACACCAGTAGTATTACCAACCACTGTCCTGTCTAAACGAATGTGAGGCGTCACTGTAATTATAAAACCTTATAACTCCAGTAGTATTACCACCCCCTGTCCTTATAACGCCAGTAGTATTATCTACTGAATCAGCCACTAGAAGGCTCTGCAATTGGGTAAAAGGACACTGTAATTATAAAACCTTATAACACCAGTAGTATTACCAACCACTGTCCTTATAACACCAGTAGTATTATCTACTGAATCAGCCACTAGAAGGCTCTGCAATTGGGTAAAAGGACACTGTAATTATAAAACCTTATAACACCAGTAGTATTACCAACCACTGTCCTGTCTAAACGAATGTGAGGCATCACTGTAATTATAAAACCCTTAATACTACTGGTGTTATATACTGGTGTTATAAGGTTTTATAATTACAGTGACGCCTCACATTCGTTTAGACAGGACAGTGGTTGGTAATACTACTGGTGTTATAAGGTTTTATAATTACAGTGATGCCTCACATTCGTTTAGACAGGGCAGTGGTTGGGTATTACCAACCACTGCCCTGTCTAAACGAATGTGAGGCGTCACTGTAATTATAAAACCTTATAACACCAGTAGTATTACCAACCACTGCCTGTCTAAACGAATGTGAGGCGTCTACCTCCAGTTTCTTCCGCTTCGTCCTCCATTGTGGGAAAAACTTCCACCTTAGAAAGCTAAGATATCTTGTCATTAATCTAAAAAAAACCAGCTTTAAACCAGAATTCTGTCAATACATCTTCAATTGTGAAAATGTAAAGAAAGAAGAGATTATGAACTTCGATCATTAAAACATTCGACGAAAACAGATTCAAATCAGGAAACGGTACACGAAGAAACGCAGTAAAGTTTTCCATTTTTCTTAACCTCGACACAATTTGCTTCTATAATATTTATTAATATACTTGTAATATTTATTTACATATTTTCACATTTAACTTTATTTGTTTCTAACCCGACTCTGCTAATACAATATTCCTGTATTACCATCTACAGCTCTATTAGAGTTGAAATATATACCTGTCATTGTGTGTGTTTGTGGTGGTAGTTTTTCATAAGACGGTCCTGTAGAAATGGCGTTATGAAAGTGATTAAGCTTGGATGACATGAATAATTTTGTCTGATGTTTTTGGTTTATCTATTCAGTGAAACTAAAGAGAAAGATGAGAATCGTATTAATAGTTGGAGTATCACAAAAGTTGATAAGACACAAATAATGAAACCCACAAACTGTTCATTAGGCGTGAAGAAAGGTCCGTCTGACTAGTAATAGTTGGATTATCACAAAAGTTGATAAGACACAAATAATGGAACCCATAAACTGTTCATTAGGCGTGAAGAAAGAACTGTCTGACTAGTAATAGTTGGAGGATCACAAAAGTTAATAAAACACAAATAATGAAACCCACAAACTGTTCATTAGGCGTGAAGAAAGGTGTGATCTGTCTTTGGAAATTGTTCAAATTATCCGGTTTCTTACATTCACATTAGATATATAACATATAATTTAAAGCATATGACAAATAAGCATCTGAAATATATAACGTATAATGCTTGCCCTTGAACATAGATATAGAGGGAGTGCCTTTTACGCGCGTTAATTTTCAAGGTGTAGGAGTTTTGGCATTACAACATATTTAAAGGATCTGGGGGAACCTCACCTGTAAGGTTAAGGAAGTGGGTAGCAGATTTCAACAGGGCGTGTTATTCTGAGGATGAGTCTAGTGAAATAGGTAGCTTTGGTTTCTCTTTGTTTGTTTTGTTTTGAATTTCTCGCAAAGTTACAAGAGGGCTATCTGCACTAGCCATCCCTAATTTAGTAGTGTAAGACTAGAGGGAAGGCAGCTAGTCATCACCACCCACCGCCAACTCTTGGGCTACTCTTTTACCAACGAATAATGGGATCGACCGTCACATTATAACGCCCCCACGGCTGAAAGGGTGAGCATGTTTGGTGTGACGGGAATTCGAATCGCAACTCTCATATTGCGAGTCAAGAGCCCTAACCACCTGGCCATGTCGGGCCTTTGATTTCTCTTTAACTTGCTAGATTAGAACAGAAAAACCTTTCAATAAATGCCATTGAATGCAGAATCTAATTAGTGTTTGTCCGTAAGCTGTTAAACCCGTGGTTATTGTGAAGGATATTCGTCGTTAAGCCTAATAATGAAAACCGTCGTGTCACCATAAACGGTAATTATATAAGGATTGAATTGTAGTTTTAACCAAAATTATTATTTGTTAGATATGATTCAGTAACTTATTTTATGAATGTGCATGCTTTTGTTTGTGAACACAGAACATATATTCTTGTTTTAAGTCAAATAAAATAAGCCCCCAGTGGCACAGCAATATGTCTGCGGACTTACAACGCTAGAATCCGGGTTTCGATACCCGTTGTGGCTAGAGCACAGATAGCCCATTGTGTAGCTTTGTGCTTAATTACAAACAAACATATAAAATAAAGTTTTTATTGTGGTTTTTAAAAATCGTTTATTTTAAAATCATAAATAATATTCAACGTTAAACTGTTACACAATTAAAAACATTTTTATTTAAAAACGTCATCCTCAGGAGTTGTAACGTCGAAACATGTAGAGTCGTCAACTTTTTGAACGCCATAGATAGGCCTAAATAAAATATTTTTAATTTTGTACCAGTTTAACGTTGAATATTATTTATGATTTTAACTTTATACACAAGTGCCAAAATACTATAATTATCGTTTATTTTATTTCAAAATATTATAAACCAGAATTCCAGAAAAGATAATAATATGTCATGTAATGGTCACATTTTTGTTTGTTGTTGTTGTCTTAGTAAATATCTTCTTCGTGAAAATTCCCCATTATTAATTCCCCTCTCCGACACGCCACATCACATACACAGCAACGTCTACCGAAAACTATTGATATTAAGCAGAAAATTTTATATTATAGAAATTTATATTGTATATTTACATTAAATATCAATTTTTTGTTCTTGATTAATTGTATATTTCACGTACTAAACTGGAAAGAGCTGTTTTAAAAAAAAGGTGTTGTGTTTTGTATAATGGTTATGATGAAAGTTTGGACAATTTTTCTTTCAGGAACTGACTGAGTTACATCATGAAAACGTCGTCGCGCTTTTGGAATGTAAGGTACGATTTTAGAAATTAAAAATAAAGATTAAACTAACGTATAAATGAAGTTTGCGGCCAAATTAGTATCTTTATTGCAAAAGTACTTATTTAAATCAAGATTTCTAGAGTGATACAAAATAATTATAATCGGAGACACGGAAATCTATAAGTCCACTTGTGTTAGGCCTAACATTAGTTAAGCCTTTTATTAAGTACGGCCTATATTCGATAAAAGAGATAAATGAAAACTGTAACTTGTGTGCTTTTTTTGTTGTTGCCCCCCCCCCCCCCAGTGCCACAACGGTATGTTTGCGGACTTACAACGCTAGAAACCAGGTTTCGATACCCGTGGTGGGCATTGTGTAGCTTTGTGCTTAACTTCAAACAAACCTTTTTTTGCTTTAGTTCATTTAGGGCTAAACCTTACCGCATTTAATACTATCAAAAAATAATCTTCGACTATTATTTGTACGACCTAACGTTAGACCTATTTAAATACTTTGGTAAGCTTTTTAATATGTTGTATAAAATGTATTTATAGTATTAGATATCAGTGTATACAAGTTATAGATATATACCGAGATTGATTTACGATAAATTCTGTGAGCACAAGCTCACATATAGTGTATATATTATTAGTTATGGGAAAATAATCACAAATTAGGGATTGTGCACTAGAGGGAGCGACTTGAAGATTATACAATTAATCAACTGAATAATTTGAAAATTATTATTCAATTTACAGGTCATTTTAGTGACGGTTTTTCACAAAAGGCGGAGTTCGATCTATGTAAATATTAGTGAAATTTTAAGTCATGAAATTTCTGATTTCCTTGAAATTATTGAATAAAAACAGATTTTTATATTTCTTAAATCAAATTTAAGATTGACAGTCATAACAACATATTTCTCCCTCACTCCCTGGCCCGGCATGGCCAGGTGGTTAGGGGGCGCTCGACTCGCAATCGCGAATCCCCGTCACATCAAACATGCTCGCCCTTTCAGCCGTGGGGGTGTTATAATGTCACGGTCAATCCCACTATTCATTGGTAAAAGAGTAGCCCAAGAGTTGGCGGTGGGTGGTGATGATTAGCTGTCTTCCCTCTAGTCTTACACTGCTAAATTAGTGACGGCTAGCGCAGATAGCCCTCGTGTAGCTTTGCGCGAAATCCGTAACAAACAAACAAACAACCTCTCACTGCCAGCCGGTTCACAACTGAGCACGATTGGTAGGCTTGAAGGTTCGGGCGCTCGACTCGCAATGTGAGGGTTGTGGGATCGAAACGCGTCACCGAGCGTGCCAACGCTTTCAGCGTTGAGGGCGTTATAATCTATATCATTCCCACTATTCGTTGGTAAAGAGTAGCCCAAGAGATGGCGGTGGATAGTGTTGAATAGTTGTCTTCCCTCTATCACTGCTAAATGAAGGACGGCTAGAGCAGATAGCTCTCGAGTAGCTTTGCGTGAAATTCAACAAATAAACAAGCAAAAATAGCTAGTAAATATTTGTGAATTGGCTCCTCTTTTTGTTTTCTAAATCTTAGAATTGCTTGTAGACGTCAAGTTTGAAACGAGATAAATTACAATTATCGTTGTCATTATTTTCTGTAGAACGTCCAAGGCAAAAAGAAAGGTTAATTGTAAAAATAAGTCATTTCAAATATCACAGTTAGCTATTTAGATATAGATACATGTGAAGATTTAATCGTACGTTATCAGAATATTAAGTAGCGTGAACGTGGCACCATGGGCGACATGTTTAGTATCCATATACTCATGGCGATTTCTCGACCATTCGACAGTGCAGTGCCATTATGGAAAGATTAACACAGTGAATAGCATCGGTATGTGAACATTAAGACAGTGAATGGTATCAGCAAGGGAAGATTAACACAGTGAATGGTATCAGCAAGGGAAGATTAACACAGTGAATGGTATCAGTAAGGGAACATTAACACTGAATGGTATCAACAAGGGAACATTAACACAGTAAATGGTATCAGCAAGGGAACATTAACACAGTGAATGGTATCAAGAAGGGAAGATTAACACAGTGAATGGTATCATCAACGGAAGATTAACACAGTGAATGGTATCATCAACGGAAGATTAACACAGTGAATGGTATCAGCAAGGGAACATTAACACAGTGAATGGTATCAGCAAGGGAACATTAACACAGTGAATGGTATCAGCAAGGGAACATTAAC